GCATATTCTCAAAAGAAACCATGTGTTTCCTTTTACCTGTTGCACAAAGACATAATACCCAGTACCACAGTGTGGTGAAGGGTATACAAAGAAATAAAAATAATATCCATTCAATTTAATATTATTTTAAGACCTGGTATTCCAATAAGATGTGCTATTTTGCCCTTCAAAGAAAAATCAATTTAAATTCAATGAATACACAGTGAATACAACACATAAGAAATGGAGTTGTATTCACTTGTTCAATGTCAAAGCTTCAAAAATTACACCTGCTGAAATACCCGGTGCTTCAAAACATCACCTCTTGTCAGAAACCTACACATGTATATGTCTTGATCAAATCGAATTATGTCTCAAAATTCTCAAGAATCCTACTAATATAACGAATACTGACGAAAAGTTTATAAAGGTTTTTTTTCAAAATAAATTGTCCACAAAAATATATTCATTCACAAACAATTAGGAATGGATTTCGTTGTAATGATTATAAAAAAAATGGGCTGCTTTAGTTACAAAAACATTTTTAAATATATGCCCAAAACGTGACAATAATTTAGTTTGGTAACGATTATTATGCGATAGATCTATTTATAAATTCGTTGTGTAGGAAGTGGCCTGGTAGAATGAGTGGGTTAACTTTTATTTACAGATGTCAAAAACAACCGATAGCCTTACAAATTGTAAACATCCTGGATGAATTGTTATTTAAATTTATTTTTTAGCATTTTTTTTAAACATTCAATGAAATATATACTTGCCTCTATAACGATGTCATAGAATTATTTTGCAATTACATCGTGTCCCACCTTTGACAATGATGCCCATGGGAGCAACAAACAAGAAATACCTCCTTTCAAAGTAATATTTATTGGCCAAAATTTCAGCATAACTTTTAAATAGAAAACCAAACAATAAAGGTATTTCTCACCATAGAAACAGTGTCGCATTGTTTTTTTATTCTGGGCCAACGCCTTTAACAATAAGTCATTTAAACTCTTTCTTTCTAACATTGTTTTCTTTTCTTGTAACCTCACAAGGCAATTCCTTTTCATTTCTTATTTTCCTTTCGTCTTGATTTTCTGTTACTTAATGAAGTTCTTAATTATTCATAAGTTGATGTTGTTTTGTTTTCATTAAGGGTTGGCTGGACGGACGAACGAATGGATGGATGGATACTACAAGACAACAGAAAAAACAATTTTTAAATTCATCTTGACCATTTGTCTTTAGGTGGTAGTTAAGAGGGAAACTTCTAACGTTTGTTTAGATTTAAATCAGAGGTTAAAAATGAAATATTTCCTTTGTGAAAATGTCAAGACGACATTGCGTAAAGGCAATGACAATACATAGATGTGAGTGTGATAAGAAAGTAGGCTGTGTGATACAATCTTTAAGATAAATCGAAAAATCTTACCATGAAAATAAATTATCGAATTTCATATGCTTCTAGGTGATGGCATAAAAAAGCACTTACTTATGTATCTGGTTTGTGACAGAACATTCGTTTCATAAGTCGAGCCTAAAAAAATTCTAGGCCCATTGGTCTTGTGCACAGCTTTTCCAATTTGAAATACCATGTTGTGATCTTTCTATCGAATTCGTGGCACCATCGGCGCATAGATCTTTCGGAGAAATTTTCTCTCAAACACTCCAAGAACTGCCTCATTTGCCTGCGTAAGTACCCATGCTTCTTATCCATACACCAGCACGGGTAGTATCAGCGTCTTGTAGAGTGTGAAATTGGTCTGTAGGGAGATGGTCTGGTTTCTTAATTTTTTACTTAGACCATAGTAGCATCTGTTCGACAACACTATTCTTCTCCGAATTTCAAATTTTGTTATTACTTTTATTTATGGCGGTACCAAGGTATATGAAATCTTTGACTAACTCGAAGCTGTAGTTCTCAAGTTCCACAGTTGGTCCGAGTCTACTGGACGTCTTGCGCGTTGATACCATCAGCATTGTCTTCTCTTCACTTAGTGCCACACCCACTTTGGCATAATCCTTCTCAAATATTTCAATGGTGGCTCTTACCGCTCGCAATGTTTAACCCATTATATTATCGGCGTAGGCGAGTAATATGTGTTGTTTGGCGTACAGTGTGTCATTTCCGTTCACATTTGTCTCTGAATGACCGTTTCCAGCCGGATCTTAAAGGTCACACAACAAACTGTCACCTTGTCTGAATCCTCATTCGATATTAAAGGGCTTCTTGAGTACGAATTTCCAAAAACATAACCTTGCCACAATGTCCTAATTTTAGCGTAATTGCAGATTTTCGTACACTTAAATTGCACATTTTCAAAAGCACCTATCTGTAGCTTATCTCAACTATATACAACACAAATGCCAATTGTACTATATTTAGTACCAAATTTTCTAAATTACTTCCATTTATTAAAAGTCATATAAATCCTGACGTTTTTCATCAATCTCAGGAAAGATCGCAATATACTTTGATATATTTGGGTAGAATTCCCTTAATGCGCCGTTATGGTAACTACTTCTTTCCATCCAAAACCAATTTTTATTGGTGTGAGTGTTTGCTATTGGCTTAAGTCGTATTTATATCGAAATAATTTGGAAAATACATATGCGAATTGTAGAATAGCAATGTAGTTTCTAAAATAAACAAACAATGGCATGCCAAACTATCCACAATCGAATAAGTGGAGAGACGGAGTTTGTTAGCAAGAGGAACAATTGCCAAACACGCACAGTATGAATGGAATGAATTATGAAAATATTTATTAAAATTTGTTTTCGTGTATAACAAGTTCCAAAGCCGCAAAAACTATTTTTTAAGTGAATTATAACATTTCAAGAGCGCTTCTATCCTAAAGAAGGCGGGTGTAGAGATAAGATGCAATTTCTTTTTAACCTCTCTGGTACCTTAAACCCGGAAAAGGTTTCGTAAAATCTGTTCGTTCATTTCTTACTTTATTGTTTAAATAAATTGCCTAAATAAATCCAAACCGGAAAGGATTGTTGGTTTGAAACTTGGTTTGGTATTTTCCAAATCTTGTTTTCCCGATGTGAATATTTACACACAAAAAAATAAATACAAATTTGGGCACTTTAGGTTTTGGTTTATTTTCCCTTGGAATATTGTCCGATCATCATCTAAACAGCCGTTCTAAGTATATGGCCAGAATACAAATTTTGTCATTTGTCACACAAAAGTCTGGGTCCATTTGACCCGCTAAATATTGGCCAATCTTCATCAAAACTAACATGCTTATCCTATGGCCAGACACTTCTCTCTGTATAAAATTTCGTGGTGTTCGGTTTATAATTGTGGCCTCTAGAACGACCAAAAAACCAACAAAAAAGTATTTGGCCCATTTCATCCCCAAAATATTAACGGATCATTACCAAAACAATAGGGGTCTTCATTGCTAAATATTGACCAATCTTCATCAAAACTGACATGCTTATTCTATGGCCAGACACTTCTCTCTGTATAAAAATTAGTGGCGTTCGGTTCATAATTGTGGCCTCTAGAGCGACCAAAAAACCAACAAAAAAGTATTTGGCCCATTTCATCCCCAAAATATTAACGGATCATTACCAAAACCATAGGGGTCTTCATTAACCAGAATCCATTCTACATGCAAAATTTCGTAGCGATTTGTCTATAACAATGGACAGACGGACGGACACACATATATATATCGACTCAGCTAGTCGAGATATGACGATCGGTATACTTGAAGGCTCTTTGGGCTGCACAAAGCTATAATACCCTGACAGTTATGTAGGGTATAAAATGCTGAAATCTTTATTTGAATCGATGGCACGGTCCATAAAATTTAGTGTTTGCCTCACAAACATAGTATACAAGCTTTAAATGTCACGATCTGGGTCCCGAACATGAAATAAAACGATCACCGAACTCGGTTCTCAATAAGTCCATTTTGTTGCAACCACAACCTCCTGAAATTTGGAGAAAAAAGCTGTGGATATATTCACCATTATTTAGCCAAAAATGAGTTTTATCACTGGACACAATTTTTCTATAGACTTTCCAAGAGTCTATTCACCAAAAATTCTGCATTTTGGTAGGATGTTCGGCTACAATTCATGTAACTTCTGTATTTTGAAAGCATCAGCCCTATATCCTTTCAAAAAAAAAAAAAAAAAATGACCACGTTGTTGAGTAACAGAGGGCAAAAAATGTGAAGTTTGTAAAATTAATATAAAGCTAACTGAGTATTCAATTTGAAACAACCTTATCACATTGAAATAGTTCTACCAAGTCCAGATCAATTCGGAAGATAGAAAAATTAATTTACATTAAATATTCTGAAAATTAAATCCAGATTCCATATTGTATTCACTGAATTTTGATATATTATTCTATAACCATTGTGAACAATTTTTATCAAATCGCAATTTTTTTCTATAAAGGTTGTACTTCCTGCTATGTAACACATCTCGTAAGGATATCTAATAATAAACCAAATAACAAACAATGACATACCGAACAATAACCATATTTACATACATATATGTAATATCCAATAATATAATGAAAAACGATAGCCTCCCTCAATTTCCAGCACTATTCGTCAATGGGAGTGATATCCTTAATCTGTTTTCATGGTAATCAAGTGCGAGTGTGTTTCTATGCCACATACATACATTATGGATTTAATGATATTCAAATAATAGAAAAAAAATATATATTTTTGGCAAATATTTGATAATAAATTGAGTGATTCGTAGAGATATTGACAAAAGATTAAATCTTTATTCTATGGTCATTATGATGAGGACAGCAGGAGTGGAATGTAAATATGTTGGTATTCAGATATTTGCCTAACAATTGAAATATGTATGTCATTTCTATGAATCTTTAACACTTGAACACAATGTCAATATGTGGTGCTTATATATGAATGATATGTATTATAAAAATATATTATTTTATTATTAGGAAACATTTCTTCCATGAATTTTTAATAAAAAAAACTATATTATTTTATTTTCATTTGCAGGCATGGCCCAGTGTTATTAAGCGAACATTCGATCTATATCCACCAAATCCCAGTCCATATGAACTTCATACGATTACAGGTAATGTTTTAGTGTTAACATTGTTCGCACAAAATTCATCGTCTTTATTACGATGTAAATTATTTACACATCTAACAAAAAATTTTTTATATCCATCATTATGAAAGTATGTTTTTTTTCATAATCTTCTAAAGTTGTAAAGAATAATGAACGAGTCTTTGTTGAGATTAAAAGTTTTCAATGTCCATATTTTGCATTCAATTAAATATTAATGAGCAATAGTCTATGCAATGTAAATTTTAACTTAATTTTGCCTAATTTACATCCGCCGTTAATATTGTGTACATAGCCCAAGAAGGTTAAAGCGATTAATTTTAATTACCCAGAGCAACAGCTTTTTAGGTGATGAACAAATTTCTCCTTTTTGGAAAGAATTGTCCTTGGCGAGTGTATTGAGAAATATTAAGGACAAATTCGTCACATCATCTATGCACATCGTGCTAAAATATTTTAGAAGTTGACAATTCCTTTTGGTTCTGAAAGAATCCAGAAACACAAATTTGGCAAAGGACTAGTTTTTGGGGTGATGGTGTTTTTTTTTTTTTTTGTCTACTATTTATGAAGAAACATATTTAGAACATTGCTATTGCAGGTTATTTTTATACCCCCCACCATAGGGTAGAGTGTAAATTAAATTTGTCATTCCGTTTACAACATCTCGAAATAAGAAACAACTCTAGTTTAGTAAAAACAATCAGATTTTTCTAAAATTTTTCTCAGAGGTATTTGACCCGAAAGTTAATGTAACGGTACCCTTTCCATGTAGTGGTGATATGAAGGGGTTATCTCGACTCGTTTTGAAGATACAGTAAAAAAACTGAGTTTTGGACCCCGATTTTCTGAAAAATTCCCTAAAAGTCGAATCCTATACCTGTGGCTATACCTGTTGTGGATCAAATGATATGGGCCTTAGAATCCTATAAAGCATTCTATTTAAAAACCTTTTAAATAGAATGCTTTATTGGTGTGGCGGGCCTTCGGCCAGGGTGTTACTGTAAATGTATATGGCCAGCTTTATCCTGGTGGAACACGATAAATTCTGTCCGTTTCTGGTCAATTGTGAATGGGTTAAAACATATTTATGGCAGATTTTTAGCTACTGGGTGATGTTACGACTGCTAACATCCCGGTCAACTTTGATCATTTCTCCGATTTTACCGAGGTTTTCGACGGCCGGCCTACCTGTGCGAGGTGCATCTTTAATACCAAACATTCCTGAACAGAATCTACGAAACCAAAATTGCACATAATTGGCTGTTACAGTATTGGAACCATAAACACCATTCACAATTTTAACCGCTTGGCTTGCATTTTCGCCTTTGTCAAAGAAAAACTGTAAAATGTACCGAATTTGCTCTTTGTTAATTTCCCTTTTTAACACCCTGTAACTCACAACTGAATGCACCAAACAAAAAAACAGCAAAATAAAGAGCATAAATCAGAAATTGTTTGATCGATAGTTTACGAGAAATCTATCAGTACATCCATCTGCCGAAAAAATAATAGATTTATTTTTCCCCAACCTAATATAACGTTCGCTCTGGCCGAACTTAACTTAAGATTGCCCTCAGTCAAATCGAATGAGGATTTGTTGACATTTAAATATTATAGAAAAAATTCGCTAATAAAATTTCAGATTGGGCCCACAATGGCAAGAAATCTATATTACCCCAATCTTGCTCAGCAATAAAATTCGCATATATTATGAAGGACTGCCGTATTGTTAGGGAAGTAATTGTATGTCTTGAATCTATCTGTTCGCACGGGACACAGCATTGTCGAGTAATTTGGTTGGAGATTTTTTGTAGAGGTTATTCAAGCATTTGAAAGGTTTTGGTTATTCGGTCGGAGCTACTTGACCAATCATCTGCTCATGAGGGAGAAATTTACGAACACATTTTACCCAACCAGTTCCGAGATTCAGCGGGCATTAAAGATGTTTGGTATGTGTTTGAAAGCAACTCAAATCTCACGAGTGAGGTTGGGTAGAAACTTATTGTTATCACAGTGCCCGGTGCCTGTTTCCCATATCAGAGTTTTGAAGGCTGCTTTCGATTGACAACTGTTTGCATGTAGAATGGGTTCTGCCCAATGAAGACCATATTGTTTTTAGTAAAAATCGGTAAATATTAAGGGAATGAAATGGAACAAATACTCAATTTTTGTCGGTTTTTCTGGTCGCTCCAGAGACCTCAATTATAGCCCAAATATCGCGATTTTTACATGCCAAAGAATGCTTGTTTTGATAAGGATCGGTTAATATATAATCTATAGCGTATATATTTACCCATGAAGGACATAGTTACCCAATAAGTTGATAACATATCCCAGAGGAGTGATTGACCTTTATATTGACACCAATTATATTATCGTATATACTCGGATGTGAGAGATGCACTTAAAATTTACAGGTGCTTACGTATTCAGATATTATTTAGTAACCTATTACCACATATAGCGCTGATCGCTTTAAAATTTTCCATGAGGATCCAGGTATGATCACGGACAACGCCTATAATTTTCGGTGATGATCAGATAATAATATTGGGATGAAGTGTATCGAAAACTTAATTTTTCGTGTTTTTTCGGTGAAGAGAATCTGGACAAGTAATTAAAAGAGCTGTACTGAATATTAGTAATATTTGTTGACTTCTAATCGGTCAAAAGGGTGCAAATATCGGAAATATTGTCCAAGCTCAGAATATAGTACCACAGAAAGCTAGATTTTCGTTGCGTAGGGTATCATATGGTCGGCCCAGTCCGACTATACTGCTCTGCTCACTGGTTGCTTTAATGGATTGGTCCGATATATGTGAGAAGTTCAATATTTTACTCAACAGTGGCTGTATACCGTACAAGTTTGCTTCATACTTTTATAAATTAGCGGTCATAAAAACAGTTTATGAGCATGGATCGGGTAAAAGTAAAAAACGGACGTTTGAAGAGTACAAATTTCGATTATGGCCTTTGAGGACCAAATCTGATATCTTATGAACTACCTTTTAGTAGAATATTTTAATGTCAAAGAATCTCGATTGTATCTTTTAGTGTTAGGTTCAAGAAAATAAGGATGAAAATGATGGAGCCTGTGGGGGGCTCCAGATGGGGAAGGATTCCTCATTCGATTTGACATACATGTCAGCTCGAAAATAACCTGCAATAGACGCAAACAACGCCTTTTTATACACTCAGCAGTCTTATGGCTAATGAGGCTAATGAGTATATACACATTGATACGTTGAAAAAGTGCTTCATCAAAATATTGGTTTTATTTCGATGAAGGCGAATATCGGTCCACTCCTTCTGGAACAAACCCTCACAAAATGGTCAAAATTGTGCTAAAATTAATTTTATAATAACATGCAAAGGGACTATCAGATTTTAACGAAACTCTGTATAATATATTACGTTTACCAAGCCCAGACCAAGTAGGAAGATGGAACCCATTGGTCCACTCCTTCTGGTACCTCCCCCACAAAGGGTCAACATTTTGCAATATTTATAAATCCAATATCAGGCGAATGAAATGCCCGATTCGAACCATACTTTGCACAATCTATTATCCTTACCAAGGCTAGATCAGGTCTGATGATGGGAACAATTGGTCCACTCCTTCTGGTACCACCCACAAAATTGGTCAATATTTTCAATATTTATAAATCCAATATTATGGGAATGGAATGTCCAATATTAACCAAATGTCGCCCAACCTCTTATCGTTACTAAGCCTAGATCAAGTCCGAACGTGGGACACGTCTGCCCTCTCCTCTAGTACCTCCTACAAAAAAAGGCCAATTTTATATATTTCATCAACATTAAATCCGAAACATCTTTAATTAAACCTATACCTTATATAAAACGAATAATAAAACCTGTGTATAACTCCGAAGACCTCCTCCGCAAACCATAGGGTGAGGGTATATATCGGTCAGCAACACCGACTGACACTTTTGTACTTATTGAAGTTACATTTATTCCCCATGAATTGTAGAGTTGGCCGAAAAAATCATCACGCAATAACTTAAAAATTTGACGTATGCCCAATTTGTCCCTATACTCGCCAAAGCCATTCATCCCGAATAGAAATCTTCCAATCCACAACAATTTTGTTTCGTTTCGAAACTATCATAGCCAGTTTTCAGAAATAGTCAAAACATAAGATCTTCGACAAGTTTACATTTCTATAAATTCCAATAATTAATACATACATCATTCAAAAAATATAGTCTGCCAACTGAAAGAAAACAATAAAATCAGTTATAAAAATAATTCGGCTACCAATTAGTTTGTCACTGATGGTTGGTAGCCAACAACATATGAACCCCCATACAAATTTCAATATTTTACGACCACTTTATAAATATTTCCTTGTTCATAGTAAACATTTATTGGCATTTTTATGACTTCAATGGCACAATTAATCATCGTTGTACTTGGGGGCTATGTTATACTTAAGTGCGTAACAACTATAACAATATTTCATAAAATATAAAATAAGCCAATAGATTTTGTTGGTAATTAGTATACATTTTGTTTGGCAAATTGTTGCAAAAATAATATAGTTTTCTTTCATATTAATGTTGACTTTAAGACACCTCTCCCACCACTAAAAATATTTCGTCCTAACGTATGGTCATCATATAAAACCAACATGATTTTTTTCTATTAACATTCATAATGTCATGTGTTTGGCTTCTCGGTGTTCCATAAATAGACAAATGTATAAAAATAGATTTTATGATTAAATTTTTCACTTACCCCAAATCGACGACATACGGAGACAGCATTGCCGTTCAGATCTGAAAATAAATAAATGAAATATTTTTGCAATTTAATATTAAGCAGCATTGGACAAATGTCGACTGGTATTTACCAATCGTTGACGATTAATAATGAAATTGGATAGCCATAAACAAAATATTCCGAATTATTTAATAAGCGAGCAAAAGGAAATCAAAATCGTCTCTCTTCCTTCGACTGTGTGTGTGTGCGCGCGAAAT